GGCTTTGTTTGGCTGGTTCGTCCCCAGTGCCGTCGTTCCGTCGTTTGCCCTTGTGGCTTCGGCTTCGACGACCATCACGCAAATGCGAACGAATCCGCTGCTCTTGTTCTTCCATATTGAGTTGGGACGCTTTGATGAGTGTGGGAATGTCGGGAAATTCAGAATCCGTGTCCGAGAGGTCGCTGGACGGTGAGTCCTCAGCATCCGTGGCTGGGATGCTGGTGTCGTCGCTCGGTGGACCGGCCATCTGCCCTAAACCGCCGCAGTCGCAGCCCAGAAGCTCATGCGTCTGACAGCGGCTCGCCTCGTCGAGTCGGAAGAGATCCTTTAGCTCTTCCCTTGAGAATTGAGCCACACTGTTTTTGTGTTCCATGACGCTGTCTGCCAGTCCGATCTTGGTTACCTGGCGTTGCCAGATTTTCTCCTCCAGGCTTCCCTTGAGCAAGACGCGGTAGATCCGGCAGTGTCTCTTTTGGCCGTCGCGATGGATCCGCGCCATGGCTTGTACGTCGGTGGCTGGGTTCCAGTCAACGTCGAAGAGGATAAGGCGGCTTGCGCCTATCAAATTCAGCCCGGTGCCTCCTGCTTTTGCGGAGAGGAGAAACGCGAAACAGAGATTTTGGGGTAGACGGTTGAAATCTTCTACGAGGGCCTGCCTTTTCTGCGCTGGCGTTGAGCCATCTAGTCTCAGGAACGGCAGGGAGAGCGAGGTGAGCAGGTTTGCGAGTAAATTCAGCGTCGAAGTGTAGTTCGAGACGAGGACGATCTTCTCAGACGTCGACGTGCGTAGGTTATGGAGTAACTGATCGAGTACACGTATTTTTGCGCTGCATGAAGGGGTGAAGTGGCGTAAAAGATTCGGAGGCAGGGACGATAAAAGCGCTGTGATGGTCTCGCTGGGTTTGTCGTCTCCAGTCTTAGGTGACAGTAGCGAAGGGCTGTTGCAGAGCTTTTTGAGAATGGTAATGAGCTGCAGGGCGTTTTCTGAATTGCCAATGGCACACTGAAACACTGGAGAGGCGAGCACATTTTTGTAGATATTGGCCTGTGTGGAGGTCGGGTTGCAGAACAAGACGTATTCTGTTTTCGGTGGCAGATATTTCGCCAGGATGTCGGCCGTCCTGCGTAGCATGAACTTGGAAGTGAGCTCTCGCAGTTCTTCATTCCTAGCTTCGCCTTTCTCAATCTCCTTCTTGGTTGCCTCCGGCTGCCTGCTCTTCACAATAGGCCCCTCGAATTCTCTGACAAAGGCCTTGAAGTTCCCTAAAATACCTGGATTTACCAGATCCACTGCTGCAAAGAATTCCTTCAGGTCATTCTGGATTGGTGTGCCAGAAAGAATGATTCTTTTTGTGGCGTTCAGTGACTGGATAGCTTGGCCGCTCTTATTCTGGAGCGTCTTCAGCCTGTGGCCCTCGTCGGCGATAATTATGTCGACTCCGGCACCTCTTGCTAGGCCTTCTTGAACGGTTCTAAGCTTCTCGTAGCCCACTATCATGACACTATAGGCCCTGCCCTTGGTGAAGTCGGTCAAACGCTTCCTTTTATCATCAAAGACGAATACACCGATACGCTCGTTACCCAGCCATTTTCGAAACTCCTTCCTCCAGTTGTTGATCAGAGTCACCGGGCAAACGATGAGAGCTTTCTTGATCACTGGAGGGCTCTCGTGGATCGGATTCTGTTTCAGCAGAGTCCAGAGCAGCGTAATCGTTTGCAAAGTCTTCCCCAGGCCCATGTCATCTGCGAGTATAGCGCCTTCTCCATTGAACGATCGCATACCCATAACGCACTCGTAAAGAAACTGGACGCCCTCGCGTTGGTGCTGCCGCAGGTGTTTGGAGAGAATTGGATCGACAACAACGTCAACGATTTGTTTCCCCTTGGGCACTGAATGCGGTCGCTTCATGACCAGCGCTCCGGGTTGGTTCGGGTCATGGCGTGGAACCGGCTTCCCAACAGGCCCCGCGGGAACGACGGTGTTTTCTAGTAGCGGCCTCTTGTATGCATTGGATATAGAACTGGGTCTAGATGCCGGGTTTGGCAGAGGCAAGCTGCCTGTCTTCCCGCCCTGGCTCTTCTGACTTGAAGTTGTCGGAAGCGAGGTACTGCTCCGGTTCCCGAGTAACGGCATGAACGTCTTCTTCAGCGGTGCCGGTGCGGCAGCGCGGCTAGTGGTGTCCTTTCTCTCGAGAAATGGCCTTCCGGCTAAGTACTCCTTCCTCGGTATCTCCGAGTCGATCTCAACTTCTTTGCCTCCTATCGAGAGTACGGTTCCAGCTTCAAGTCGGGATCCATGCATCACCCGTCCCATATCCTTTCCCGATATGTCCTGTAGGTAGAGATACCCGTCACGGGTAGAGATGATACCGTCCCCATCCCACGTCTTGTTCTTCTTGGTGGACGGTTTTCGCCTACAGCAGGTGTCGGGTTAGCTTGATCATCTCTTAAATAGTGCCCGGATAGTTACCATAGCACGTTGTAGTATCTGTCCCTATATGAATCATCACCAGTCGCGCTCTCGCTGGATGAGCTGCCTGCATTAATGACTTGATGGAGAGGCTTGCGGCTCGGCGTGGTGTATGAACGGCCTAGCGAATCACTATGAATAGTGATTTCTGGGTCCAACCGCTGCTTCTTGGCTGGAGGTTCGCGATGTTCGGGGGTACCGCTTGCCGCGGGTGCATTAGACACGGACGGGTTGGGCTGTTTCCTGATCAGAGGAGGTTTGAATGGCTTGAAGACCATAGTGAAATGGTCGTGAAGCTCGTTGCCCGGTTCTCAATCGGCGTGCTGAAGGATGAGTTATGATGTTTCTCGCGAAGCGCGAGACGCGAGACGGAGCGCGTGGTCACGTGCACGCTCTTGTATATCCATATTGGGGGATATTGGACCATCTATCGATTTCAGTCGATGTTCCCAGCTGTACAGGTGATTCACCTGTATTCTGTTTGCAATAGGCACCTCCTGTATGCGTAGTAGCCTGCTCTGTTGATTTAAGGTCGTGTGTTGACCGACGTGTGGGTAACTGGATTGTATGGCAGCTCTGAAGCAAGGTACAGTGAATATATATACTTCGGTCACTCCGAACATCCATTGGAGACGGACAACAACAACCGGAAAATCCATGAATATCAAAGCTCAGGACGGCAGTAACCAGCTTGCCTTTTTAATATTCCTGAAAAATCAAGTTCAAGGAAACCAGATGGCTACATATAGTAAGGAAACATCGCGCCACCCAAACACAACCGATGACCCATCGCAGGTTGGATGCTCTGTCTTGAGTATTCATAAATCCAAGCGCATCCTCAATGAGCGCCCTTTTTTGGTAGTTGGTTATCACATATCGTTAACACCGATAAGGTCGCGGGATCGAGCCCGGCACTGGCCAACCTTTTTGCATCGTCTGGCTGCCCTAGCCCCTCCTCTACTGAGATCCCTTCGAACTTCGTGTAATCGTTTCGGCTTCGTCTTGCCGTCACCAGCGAAGTTGTCTCGGTACGGTTGATAGCTATCTTTCCATCCCAAAGGCAGCTTTCTCAGAACCCACTGCTAATTGAAATGAATTATCTTGGCAGTGCCAATAAAGGGATAGCACTTATATGTAAGATTTCGTATTCAGCGTCAGCCTTACAGTTCTAACTTTACTAAACATAAGGTATCAATAAAGCTCGGGTGGTGGGAGTTCGCGTCACGCGGAGGACGACATTGGGTTACGAGAGCCAAGGACACTGGTGCCCCTTCCCTTAGTTGGGCTTCCCGTACGCCCAATAGCATTCTGTCTCTTGCCGCCTGCTGCAATGCCTTGTGTCCACGATGACGCTGACACTTCAAGGCCAGGGACGAACTCCCTTATATCTTCCCTCCCCCACCCCCACCCCCCCGCCAGCTTTTTATTTCTTGTCTTCGAGCCCTTTCAGACTTGTTTTCTCCTTCAAGAAACGTACTTGGCTAGTGTAACGCGTCGATCATATTGACTGATTTCGGGAGATATTGAACCATTTAGGCAACCTTTTGAGTCTTTCTACCGACTTCTCCTATCTGGCCCACATCTCTGGGCAAAGCAAGTCCTATACTTGTCCAGAAGCTTGATCTGGACCTGACTGTTGAATCGACAGAGTGCGATGTTCATACCCTTGAAAATTGAAAATGATTTTTGACCATCTATTACCTTAGTTGAGCCAAAATGAGCGAGAGAGAAACGGGAACCGTGAAATGGTTCAACGAGACAAAGGGATATGGCTTTATAACCCGGGAGAATGGCGAAGATATCTTTGTGCATTTTCAAGCAATTCAGGGAACGGGCTTTAGAACTCTGAGGGAAGGAGAGAGAGTCACATTTACAGTAGACCAGGGAGCAAAGGGTTTACAGGCCAATGCGGTGCAGCCAGCACAGTGATACTTTGAACTCATGAAGAGAAGGCAATTTTTGGTGTTAGTATGAGTAAAGTTGTTCTGGTTTTTTGTGGCGGTGTTTGGCAGCGATGGTCTGATCCAGGCACACTATGATCCGTGGCCATAGGTGCAGATAAAAAAGGAAATGGGGCGCCTTGTACTCTGTAGCAAGGCTGTGAACCGCTGCCTATCTTGAAGGACATGATCTCATATATCCTGCCAGAGCGCAGAGCTCAACGTTCAGGGTGGATGTGGATTTTGCTAAATGATTGTACCATGAATATTCCAGATTATTTTTCCAATCCCTACCCCGGAACTCGCAAAGGCGCGTACATCATGAGTCCTCCATGTATGCAGTAGCTTAGCCATGCGGCAGGCGGTGACTACATAACACCTTCCCGAAGTGTGGTGCAGCATGCTGCGCTGACGAAGATCGAGTACTGATGCAGTCGCTCTGTAAACCAAGACCGCAATTACCCGCCGCGGCTGTTACGTCGTCTAGTATCCTGCTGGGCGAATTATCCAATAAACTACACGAGGCTACACAAGGAGATGTCATGACAGGTACATTGGATTACTGATATGACCGGAGACGACTATCATGATCAAACCGAGGACCTGCCCAAGATCGATCCAGTGAGCCAGACTGCGGCACATGCGCCCAGAACAGATGCTCCAACGAGCCGCTTTTCCCAAGAAGATTCAGCAGCCATGCGTACTGGCACGACATTTCCAGCCTTTGTAGACTGAGAGGACGGAAGTGCATCAGTGTTGTTCTCATGAAGTGGCTCCCTGCGAGACGCAAAGTCCCGGTCACGCTTGCGCCATTTTTCCACCAGTCGAGCGATCTCGATGAGGTCCTCCTTCAGAGAGCCGGGCTCAGTGGCATTCGCATGCTCGACTTCGACATTTTGAACATTACCGAAGAAGTCCACCACTGTTCTCAGGCGCCCCTCCTGCTCCCCGCCGGGAAAGAGGTCCCACCGAACGCCCGGTTGCGAATGAATCTTCGACTCGTCGTACGAGTCGAACAAATCTCCCAGTGTCGCCTTTGAATTGGCACTTGTCACCTGAGTTTCTAAAAATTCCAGCACATAGTATGTCCAACGGTCGATCACCGCAACACCGACATCGTTATCCGCATGATGAGAGTACGAGGACTGATCCAGCGCACTGGATCCTGTCGCGATAATATTTGGCGAGTAGAAGTGGGTGTACATAGTATTAGCCTGGCAAGTGTCAATCATGAATAGCAGCTCATGATAACGCTTCTTCTCCCACATCTGGCCGAACGCATCCGCCAGGTCCCAGGCCCCAATCTCCTCCGAGTCTTGGAACTTTAGGAACTGATCGCCTCCGTGTCCGGTCATGTAAACGAGCACATTGCTTCCAGCGTCGGAGCCCAGGCGTTTGCTCCGCGGCACGTCTTCGTCCAGTCGGTCGGTCAAGAGACGGATAAAGTTCTCCACGGTCACCTCGTAGCCTCGGTAGTCTACCTCAATGTTATCTCCGTATAAGTCAACTGCGCGATCGGCATTACTGTAGACCGTCCCTGGAAAAGCGTTTCGAGGATTGCAGGCCATGTCATCGGGAAGCATTAGGATGATTTGCGAATCGGGGATCCCCAGCCGCTTGACGGTGCGATATAGCGAGAGTACATTTGCAAGATGGCGGTAGTTGAACCAGAATCGAGACGTGGAAACGAGAACAGCCCAGTTTGAAGTGTGTTCCGTCACTGCCTGTGTCGCTAAAAGAAGGAATAGGAAGGAGAGGACTTGTAGGAGACCAAGATGAGGTGACATGGCGAACAGGTGAGAATCAGGTCATAAGGCTTGGGTATATAGGCGAGCAAAGAAAAAGATATTGAAAAGGAGAGAAGCGAAGAGAAACAGAGATTAGGTCAGATATGCATCTGGAAGAAATAATGAATAGGAAACGAGTGTGCCGTATTTTTTACAATGAGCTGATATGGGATTAATAATGAACGAAGATGGTGATTTAGCGGGGAGGCGTTGAAGACGGAGTGCCTGAAGATCCCCTGGCTTGGCATCAACGTATCTGAAAGCTGTGTACGGAGAACCTTTTAGTTTGAAGTATAATGCCACTCGCCCAAGGATCGAATAAGAATGCAATCTGCTGTTCTCCTTCCGGATATTGTCATTCACCTCTGGAATGGTTAATTACCATACAGATTGTGTGGTTTCGTAGAGTCCTATAACATGGTCTAAAACTTCAGGATGCCTTGATAAGCCCTCAGAAAGGATAATTCGATTCATTCTTTGCTTCGCCCTGACTCTATTTGAATTGGCTCGAGAAAAGAATGTTTTCTGTATTCGAGAAATAATGGAAATCAACAAGTGCCAATGAGGGAGTAATCAAAAGTCAATGCCGCCCGAATCTCCGAAGATAGAACAAAAGGAAAAGCGTCTATTCAAATCTATACTACATTTCAGACAATGTGAAATACAATTATGCTGTGAAGACACTGGACCAGAGACAGGAAAGTAAGTGTCATCTGCCGAGTTTGGCGAGTCTCAAGTGGGCTGCAGCTTGTTTTCTAACGGTAAATCATCAAATCTACCACGCTCCGTATGGAAGACTTGGAATTGACCGAATTCAGACATTTTTGGTTTCGCAGTTAGGCGTCACGTCGTTAATTTATTTGCCAATCTCGACACCACCGGTGGCACCGAGTACACGCTTGATGTCACCATAGATGGCGAACTGACCGGCAGTGATGGAACCAACCATGAAAAGACTAGAGAGTGGGTACATCAGCTACTGTATCCTGAATCGCAAGCAAATAGAAAAAGGCTAGACTTACCGAGTACCAATACCAGCGTAACTGCCACGGATACCAAGGTCCTTGGCGATCTTGATGAGACGGGAGACAGTGCTCTCACCAGGAGCGCCCTGGGTCTTGTTGATCACACTGAGCATGGTGTCGGCGGGCTGAGAAACAAGGGCGGCAGCGAAACCAGCAATGAGACCAGAGCCAAGGTTGATACCAGTCTTAGCACCATCGGAGACGGTGTTCTTGTCGACCTTGCGGTAAACAGCCTCAGCAACCTTCTCGTAGACGACGAACTTGGCCATGGTGTAGGGGATCCTGAAGTTTACCAATTAGAAATCATCCTCCATTGGTCGAGAAGTTATTGACTTACTGCTTGAAGAGGATAGGACCGAAGCCAGAGTAGAAAGCACCGATACCCTCGTTCTTGAGGATCTTGCCGAAGCCGCTCATGAGACCGCTAGCGAAGGTAGGCTGAGAAACGAGACGAATACGAGTGGCCTCAAGAGGGCAAAGGGCGATATCAGCGAAGAATTCGGCGGCAGCGGAGGAAGCGAGGTAGACCGCGGTTCTGTTGTTGGAAGCAGCCTCGTAGCCGAGCTGGTTGATGCATTGCTGCTTGAAGAACTCATAACCACCGAACTTGAAAGCACCCTGAAGGAAGTAACCGGCGGCAGTAGGACCGAAACCAGTGAGGAGAGCGCCAGCACCCTCGTTGGCAATGACCTGTCTGAAGCCACCAATCATACCACGGTTGTAGGTGACAGGGTCAAGCTGGATTCTGGTCTTGACGCTGCATTGAGAAGAGAGATACATCAGTACTCAGTTGATGTAGACCGCAAAGCGCGCCGGGGGTTTCGGAACTAGGCGCAATCGATGCGATTTGGGGGCAGTGAGGCTGAACAGTAGGACCTACACATCGACAGGGGTGAGGGCTCCGTGAGTGACGGAGCAGCAGACAGCACCAGCGAAGGCGAATCTGGAGTAGAGCTGCAAGCCGCTCATCTGAGGGGCAGCAGGAGCCACCTTCTCGACGACAGCGTCGATCTTGGGAGAACCGGTAGTGGGAGCAGCGGCGGACATTGTGAATTATGTGTTGTATCTATGCAGGTCTAAAATCTAAACAAGGTCAAGAGAAGGATGGAGGAAGAGGAATACAGATAAGAGATGATGGAGAGTGGGGATGGGGTATAAACGAAAGCAATTGAAGCTTTGCAGAGTTTGGAAAGGGAAAAGGGAAGAGAGGAGGAAGGATATGAAACTGAAGGGAAAAGGATTTCACATCGGGGAGACTGGGGAGCACAGACTGGGCACTAGCGGCACCGATCCCGAAAACTTTTCGCGGGCCAATGCGGGCTTCGCTCGGCAGCACGAACACTGTGACTTGCCACCGTTAACTCCGATCGCCCGGCCAACATACAAGAACTTTTTAAGTATCAGGAATCCCAAAGGCATAATCAACAGACATATGGGAGCTTTTCAGTCAGACAGAAGATTTGACACTTCGAGATATGAGCTCTGTTCGAGATTACTCAATTCTACAGACCATATTGGTCGCCTTCACAAAGTAAACAGTAGATCAAGGAAGAAAGACGCTCAGTTTGGCGGAATTCCAACCATTACAACGAAGTGTGACCTCCCAAGCACTCATTTCTTCAAAATTTAAATAGCGATGTCGTCACTCGTCTCAATAATATATGCTCATGACGGCGCTCAAAGTGGATATCTGTCAAGACTGGAAGTTCTTTGTGAGCCTGAGGCATGGATTCTCCTAAAATTCTTCACCGCCTGGATTCCACGAATGATATGCACGGATTCTAAGTCAGGGCGGCCAGGAGTGAATTCGTGATGCCCTTGTCTCCTATTGGCTTGATTTCACTCGGATAAATGCCGTCTAGCCACCCTCAGACTCAAAGCGGATCAGGCACCAGGTCGCGGTCCAGGAAGAAAAGGCTTTAATTAGAATGTGGATGCCTCAGGTATCAAACTTACCACATCTAAAAATTGACACTGTATCTAGCTCCTATAATCAAAATCCTGATGACCTTATTCCTCTTCGAAACAAGTACTAATTCATAGCTCGAAGAGCACAGAAAAAGGTATCAGGGCGCTGCCACAACGCATAGCCTTCCACTTGTCACAAGTCCACTTGCACAAATATACCGGGTTCTGTTTGTTCTTTATCGTTGCGCTAAGACTATTTGACTGATGATGTCTTGAACTTAGCGGCATTGACAAATCTGAATCATTGTCATGACCTATATATAATTACCCTAATATTTCCACCTCATTATTGATGTCAATGCTGTGTTTTTAAAAAAGAAACTGGGCCGCATAATACCTTCATATAGTCACTCTATTTCCTCATCCGCATCCAGATATAAAAGCATTATTATCGCGGCTATCAACTCGGCTTCGCTTCTAAAGATTTGCTTTTCAATCTCTCCAGACCAGTCAATGTTTTCTTTTCTTTCTAGCTGCTTCCCGAGCAAAAGGAGGGAGACGCAGAGGTGGCATGAAATCGAAGGTCTGCGTTCCTTTTTCTTCTTTTGCGATCTGATCTGACGCTGTATTAGAAGAAGCGAATCGCCTGGATCAGCTCCCGTCCTGGGATGCACCAGACAATCTGCTTCTGATGCAGACTTTTGAATGGCATATGCCAGCTGATCAAGCTCACTGGCGCCGTCTACGACATATTTTACCGAGTCTCAAGGAGATCGGTGTCGACAACATATGGCTACCTCCAGGGTGCAAGGGAATGGATCCTTCTGGAAATGGCTACGACGTATATGATCTATATGACTTGGGTGAATTCGACCAGAAAGGATCACGAGCCACCAAATGGGGAACCAAGGAGGAGCTCCTGGAGCTCACCGCAGCCGCTCGGGATCTCGGTGTTGGTGTTCATTGGGATGCTGTTCTCAATCATAAAGCAGGCGCAGATTTCACAGAACGATTCCTGGCCGTCCAAGTAGACTCGGAAAGTATGTTTCCCTTCAGTGGAGAGGTTGGTTAACCAGATATCTGATACACCCCGTTAGGACGAGATATTGAGATCTCACGCCCAAAGGAGATCGAGGGGTGGGTGGGGTTCGATTTCACAGGTCGCGGCGACCTCTATAGCTCGATGAAATATCGGTGGTACCATTTCAATGGCGTTGACTGGGACGAATCGCAAAAGAAGAACGCTATCTATAAGGTTGCAGGGCCGAACAAGGGTTGGGCTAACGATGTCAGCCACGAGTTCCGCAACTATGATTACCTGATGTTCGCAAATCTCGATTACTCTAATGATGAAGTCAGAAGAGATCTTCTCAGCTGGGGCGAATGGATCGGCACTCAACTGCCTCTCAGTGGTATGAGGCTAGACGCTGCGAAACACATGTCGGCTGCTTTCCAGAGGGACTTTGTCGACCATGTTCGGAAGACTCTAGGACCTGATTTCTTCGTAATCTCGGAATACTGGCGCTGTGATCTCAAAGTTCTCCTTGATTTCCTGGAGACGATGGAACACCGAGTTCATCTCTATGATGCCGTATTGGTTGACCGATTCTCAAAAATCTCCCTGACCAGCGAAGCGGACCTGCGGGGAATCCTCGATGGGACATTGGTCCAGAGCAAACCTCAACATGCCATTGTAAGTTCTCCTAGATGTGTTCTGACTGCTGTCCATACTAACCCTCTAGACATTTGTCACGACTCACGATACAGTAAGAAATCAACTTCCATTCTCAGCGTCTTAACATCTATTGACTATAGTAAAGCAACCAGGCCAAATGTTAGAGGTACGTTTTCATTGTCATGGTGTACGTTGACTATTCCATCCTGACGAATCGTAAATAGGTGCCAGTCGCATCTTTCTTCAAGCCGTTAGCATATGCTCTGATCCTACTACAAAATAGAGGACAACCCTGTGTCTTCTGGGGTGATCTCTACGGGATCAGAGGAGGCAAACATCCAACGAAGCGTTCGTGTGGAGGCAAGCTTCCGATTCTCACAAAAGCCCGTAAG